GCAACATTCTAACACAAATGCAACAAAACATCTTTGTACAATTGAAAATACCGCTTTAAACAGGAATTTTATCATAGTACATCAGTTTCTAACTGTTTAAAAAAGGTTTTGAGTGTTAACCCAAAACGAAAATTGGATCAAAACTCAYACGAAAGTCTAGTCTTTTGGCGCTTTTTGCCATTATTGCTCATTATTGAAAAAAATTTCCTTTTAATGTCAACCAACTTCAAACAAGGTCGAAGAACACTGTAAAGAATAGTACATATATAAATATCCTTTGTCACATACTTTTGTGAAGGTTGTTTTTCGTGTGGCAAATAATTCCAACATCTTGCTGGTGAGCGCACCTGGCGATCCCCCATCCCCTGTGAGAACACATGGAGATACTAGGTTCGTCTCCTCGACACTGCACATTTTCTAACATAATGCGTCCCCTGCCTGAAGGGAAAATCGAACAGCAGGGAACCACCATCTCAGCGTCTATATACCCTAGTTCCTTACAGACCACTCTGGCCGAGGTTAGTGGGAAATTTGAACCACAAACTGTTCCCCAGCGTCCTTTGTATAAGACTTCAAGCCGCCCTGCTGACGAAACGTTGCCCACCAAGCGAACATCTGAAAATAAAATTTGGAAAACAAAATGGCTGCTAATGTGATTTACAAAAGGTAAGTTACAGATAAAGATAACCAATTATATCAGTGAATAATGGCGTAATATTTTTAAACTATCATTTAAGTTGCGAACCAGAAGTCTGTTGTATAATCCAACAAAAAAAAAAGTTAAAAATTATTACTACAAACAGCTGGCCCATACACAGCCAGTTTCTATCTATCGCATCAACCCCAATCCCCCAGGGGAGTCAGGAAGGCGTGGTGATAAGACGCTCGCCTATCACCTCTGAGGTCAGGAGTTCGAATCCCAGTTGAGGCATGTGAGCTGAGTTGGCTGGTTTTCTTTCCGACTCGTATTTCTACCCTCGACTCCGTCGGGTTTATACTCCCTCCTCTCAATCATTCCTAACTAATTCAAAATGGTTAGAGCTGTGGTTGCCGGAGGCGCTTCTGCGCATCGCTTTTAGCTCCACCCCGTTTCATGCTTACTTCGCTCTTGATTCTACAACCTGTGTGTGAGAATAAGAACTTCAAAATTTTAATTATGAAATATATGCTTTCGTTATATCGTACTGTGCGTGATATTCCTGATGTCTAGTAGCGTTAATGAAGCAGCGGCAGGGAATAGTGCACATGTGTCTGGATGGACCGTAATGTCATCAATGGCGATATTCCCCCTGTAGTCTGCACCAGAAACCCCTTCAAAAATTATCTGAAAAGAAAGAGGATATAGCAACTGAGAACATTGGCTGGCTTAGTCAATGTGCAGCTGAGGGTGAAGACAGGAGACATATGTGTGACACAGGGGAACATGGCTGGGTTATGTGCAACTGAGGTTGAAGGTGAAGTGTGACGCAGAGGAATATAGCTGGCTTATGCGCATCTGAGGGTGAAGGAAGAAGATACTGGATATTAGCATATACCAACTTCTGTACTTCCTAAGAACGCGCGCGCCCATTGGTTAATTGTAGGGGAATATTGTACGATATTCACCTCTGAATCTCGGAATATTGAGTCGGCAACAAAATGGCATCTGTCGGCAATCGTTTTGCTACAATTTCCGATGAGGAAATTGAAAAAATGAAAGTAAATGCCATTCCTATCAATACAATGTACTACAAAGGCAACGAAGAGTGTGGCCTAAACGYTTTGCTAAAAGTTTTGCTAAAAGTTTTGCGTGAATTTGTCACGCAAACTAAAAGTTTCTGTTTGTTTGTTCTTATTGAATTATTGTATATAAAAATAAGTTACTCTGTACACAAGTTGGTATATGCTAAAACAATTATTCGTCTCAGGCTCAGTGAATATGGAGAATATTTACCTCGCCGCTCGAAGACAGCTCGCGTCTCGGTAAATATTCCCCGATATTGCTAAATATGAAATCCAAGGCTATTTTAACCTACTCACCCTAAATGCTTTCAGACCTTTGACTGGAAGCGCAGCCTTACTCCAGTTGGATGATTGCTCTCCTACTAGCTGCCAAACCATCTTCTTTGAAACGCCATCGTCTATGAACACATTTAGATCACCAATAGTAGATCCCTTCATATGGTAGTAAAACTCAACACACTGGGTATCGTATATTTCAGGGCTGATAAGACGAGCAATTTGACCTGCTACCCCGTTGCGCGAAGACGTTCGGATATATATGTAGTTACCTGCAAAATTCGTAAAAGAAAATGCTTGATGTAAATCAGTGGCTGAAAACTAATAGGTTAACTATTCAGAGCTTAGCGAACGACAAGAATTCAGCAGCTTTACTCTACAACATGGCGTTAATCATCTGTTTAAAGCATAACGCTTCTGTTTTGAAYCAATTTTCCCGCGAATTAAGCTAACTAATTAATGATTTATAAATATAAACTTATAAAACATTGATAAGTACCTTTTCCTGTAGYGTGATCTTGTTGCGGGCCCGTGGCATAGTAATTCACAGTTCTACCAGTGTGTAGAGACCAGTCGAAGTCATCATCCTTGGCATTTGTATATCCACAAAGGTTCCCCGTGTCGAAGTTACAGTTGCCAGAGTTTTCAAGCTTACAGGTGACATTAAGAATCTGGATGTCATCCAAGGCGACGTCTCCATAGTAACGTGAAGACCCAGCAATGCCGCCCTCAAATATAATCTAGAGAATAAATTGACAATGTAATATATGGAGAAATAGAAAGAAACCGCGCTCGTGTGTTGTTTAGGAAGCACGGATGGCGTAGCGGTGTGAGCGCTCGCCTCTCACAATGCGACCCGAGTTCGAGTCCCGCCGGGTCCGGTGTTGTACATGAGTAGAGTTGTTTGTTGGTTCTCTCCTGTGTAGT